CAGTGTCTTTTATGTAATAGGGACTCAGAACTATTTTTGAATGAATGAGTGAATGAATCATGGTATTGTGTAGAATTAGATAAAATACATGGTAGATTTGTTCTAGATGCTTTGCATTATAAATGTTGGTAAGAGCCATGCTGTACATTTTTTTATAGTGCAGTTTTGCTGGCACAATGTTTTTCAGCTTTTTTTTCCTGGAAAGGTCTATTTTTGAAAGATTTTTTACTGGGTTTAGAATTCTCAGTATGGTAGCTTATATTGTCAGAGTGAATAAGTTGAGAGAATGTGAGCAAAACAGAAGTTTCAGTCTTTTGTAACCTTATCTCTGAAGTGAAATCCTATCGCTGTATTCCTTTAAGAAGCAAGTAACTAGATCCAGCCCACACTCAGGAAGAGGAGATTACATAAGGGCATGAATAATACAGGACACAGGGATCATTGGCAGTCATTTTGGAAACTTCCTACAATACTACATGTTATATAAATTAAATACAATACTATAATTGGGTCTATAAAATAATGTAACGGAGTTAACATATATGGCATAATAACAATTTGCTGTTTGTATGCAAAGTGCTTACCATAGGTTATTTTAAGCCTCTCCCAATATTCTGTGGGAGAGGTAGTATGTATTATATCCATTTTACAGATAAAGAAATAGAAGCTCAGTGAGGTTACCTAGTTATGATGTAGCAGAACCAAGACTCTAGTGTAGAGTTTGCCAATTCTAGCACCTATATTTTAAAATCTATATCTTGTCAGTATTAAGATAGAATTACTTTTATTGAGTACCTCTTATATGTCAAATATTATAGTAAATGCATTGTATATATTAACCTCATTTAAGCCTCACAGTAACTCCATTAAAGTTCCTGATCTTAGTGATAATGTACTCTAGCTTTCAGATTTAAGAAATTACTTTGAAAAATTCCATATATCTTTTTGTTATGGAGACATTAAGCAGAGATAGAGGCATTAAGAGTCTGTGTAAATACCAAAAGAAATGAGTAATTTAAATACATACTACGTTAAAAAAAGGGGTATCACCAATCAAATAAGTTTATAGAAAGAAGCCTGACATATTTCAGTCCATTTCATATTCTGCAGATAAAGGATAGTATGTGAATCTTAAATAGGAATGAATTCATAAATACTTGAAAACAACCCACTCTGAGAGGAAATCTCAACAAACATTACTATGTAAATTATAGTCAGAAAATAGCTCATGTAGTTAATTAACTACATTAAATGTTGAAATAGTTTTACTAATAAATTTGAAATATTTTCACTACTAAAGTCTTTCACAAATAAACTGAGTGGCTTTCATATCAAAGACTACATACACTTTCTTCAGTTTTCCCATTGTCTTTTGCAAAGTGAATCTTCTAGTAGATGAGGAAAATAAGACAAAGAGAAATTATTTTCTCATGGTTAAAACGTAGCCATAAGACTGCTGATCGTGGCCTTTTTAGGTCAGTTTATTTTAATCTTTTAAGGGGTATCCTGTAAGATATGTGTTGACAATAATAAATTCCAAAGTTTATGAATGATTTTATTTTTGAACTATTTTCCTATAAAATAGCACTGTCTCACTTTCTACATTCAGATTTGCTTTCTTTTTTTTTTTTTAAGATTTTTATTGGGGAATTGGGGGATGGAAATACCGTTGGGGAATCAGGGAAGGGGAACAGACAAGTTGCTGTCCTTTTGTTCTTCAGTCCAGTTGTGGAGGACGTTGTTTCACTGTCCCAAGTTGGCACCATCATTGCTCTCTTCCCTGGCGAGGCAGATCAGTCGCCAGCTTCTGGACGGCCGCTCAGGGAGGTTGCTGGCCGCTCATGCTGGCTGCTGGCTACATACAGTAGCCCATGGCAACCCACTGCCACAGGGGCTGCAGCCTACGCCGTCCCTGGCGACTCACGTCCCTGGCGACTCACGTCCCTGGCGACTCACTGGCAGCCCAGCTCCAGGTTGAGCTGTTGTTCAGCATCTTAGCTGTAGAGGGCAGTGTCACTGGCCCTCATATGT